TATTTATTATGTACAGCATCATTAGCATAATCTGCCATTCCATTTCCTATTTCCTTGGTGGTATCTGTTATAATATCTCTAAATCTAAAATATTTGAGTTATTTGAATTATTCACGAGAAAAAAAAATAGTTAGTAATATGAAATTCAATTTCTATTATCAAAAATTTAAAAATTATATTATAAAATTCGTACTCTTTTCAAGAACAAAAATTCATCAATTACAATATCAAATTCAAGAAGCAACTGTCGATCTTTTTCATCAGGACCGTCTGTGCATTTTAAAATCAAGATAAAATTTTAAAATTTATTAAATTAATTATTAAATTACTTTACTTTTACAATTATAACTCACTTCCTGTAAAAGTCCATCCTTTTTTAAAAATTATATCATGAAAATTTCTTAACAATGGCTCTTTCTTTTCAATGGGAATCGTCATATCATCTTCGATTGTATCCAAACCAAGCAAAATTAAGTAAAATATACAAGTCTATTATCATATTTAAAAATAGTTAAATATTTGATATACAAAAATATATGAAAATATACAAAATATACAAAATGTAACTAGTGCTTTACCTCATCCCTTAAGTCTTCGTGAATTTTTTGAATAAGCGTTGCGTAAGAACAAGAAGTCTGTCTCAAAAATTCATAACATCTTTTCTTGTTTTTATTTTTTGGATCAATTTGTATTATATTCGTTAATTGAAAATATTTGTAGTGTATTAAAGCAATAATTTCAGACGGCCGAAATATCGAACTAATTAAATATGACATTTTTCTTTTTTTAAAAAACTCAAAAAAATCCTTTCGAATCTTTTTATTCTTTTATATATGCTGTTTAACATCGAAATTTTTCGCACGAAAAATAAATAAATTACTGTTGTAGACATGAGTTTCAGACTGCTAATTAAATATGCTATTCTAAATATATCGATCAAAAAAAAATTCTTTCGAATCTCTATTCTTTCATTTATTCGTGTAACATTTAAAGAATTCGGCCTCATTGTGACATGTGTTATTTTAATATTATATAATTATAGACACAATTTATACTTTTATATTGTACTTTTATTAACTTCGATACGTAATGACACCATATCGTTTGATAAATTGATCCTTAACTCCGAAATTTCCAATTTTAATTCTTGAGGCGAGTGGGTTGACAGTAGCTTTAATTGAAGAATAATTATTTGCAATGAATTCTCTAAGAATATGGTATCGTGACCCTTAAAGATTATGATAAATATTGTTATTATGCCGCAGGATTGCCTGGCATAAGTCTTACCAGATTATTTGCCGTCAGTGGATTAGAAGACCCAGGAATTGTCAAGAACCTAGAATTGTAAGTTCTTGTGATTATAATATTTTTTATAAATTAATTAAATAAATTATTAATAATTAAATATTATAATACTGATTAAATAATAATTAATAATTTTTTAAATATGATAGAGCAAATACAAAGAAACATTAATGTTTTTTCAAGAATAATACTTAGATTCTTTTTATACCTTCAGAATGTTGTGACATAATTTTAATACTTTTATCAAAGTATACTGCCTTTAAGTAACTAATAAAATGGCTCAGAAGGTATAAAATTACTTAAATCTTAATTTTTCCAAGCTGACTTACATACATATCTATTGAAAGATGATTTTTCTTTAATTACAAATTTTTTACATTTCCAGAACTTTGAGACGTAATTTTCAATACATTGATCAAAGTAAACTGCCTTTGAGTGACTAATTAAAACTGTTCAGAAGTATGAAAGTAATTTAATATTTGTTTTTGCTAAGCTATGAAGTTTTCTTTAATTACAAATACTTACATCTTTTTTATACTTCCAGAACTTTAATACATTGCCTTTGAATGACTAATTAAAATTTGTATCTTAATTTTGCTAAGCTTGTTTACAAATGGATTGAAAGATAAATAATTCTTTAATTATATATGCTTTCAATTTTTTTATTCTTTTGAAATTTAGTTTAGTTTAGTCTGTAAATTTAAGATAATATTTTTTTAACAATTATAATATAAAGTAAAAAAGAAAGTTATGTTAATTATTTTTAAAAAAAACTGAATCATAAATTAATTGCTCCAGACTCATAACAGTTCCCATTTCCTAGTTATATATAAATAATTGATTGTTCTCACATATAAAACTTTTCATATTATAGGTAAATATTAAAAATGATACTAAGTAGCCTCAAAGACAAGGATGAATTGCACCTTTTATAAAAGTCATAGGCCTATTTCATCAAAATTGAGGGAATTATAATTATTTTAAATTTTTTAAACATTCAAACTTTAAAAGTCAATCATTCTCTCAATTTTTCTGAAATAAATCTGCCGTTTTTATGGAGTATGCAAATCATTCTTGTCTTTAATATTACTTAGTGGCATTTCAATATTAACTTATAAAAATAAAAAGTTTTATATGTAGTAATGATTAATAATTATTTCCATTTTATAAATTAATTTTTAATTTCATAATAATTCACTGATTCTGAATTCAGCTATTATTCACGATTCTGAACTCGCGATTATTATCGCGATTAATCGTCAACCAATAGGATCGATTAATCGAGTCTAGATACTTAACACTACTTAATAATACATTATTGGTCATTTTTGCAGTGCATTAATGTGCCTCCCGTGCCAAAAGTATCCGACCACCTGAAAAAAATTTTCAGGTTTAGGCAGGGGAGTTACGTACGTATGGGGGGATATTAAAAATCACTGGACAGTTGAAAAGATAAATTTAAAAATGCAATGAGTGATTTAAATTGCGCAAACTTTTTTTATTACACTGACTGGGGTATCATATATATTTTTTGTTAAAATTGAATATGCATAGAAATTACACTTCAAATAAAATTCTTTAACATCAACGGTAAAATGATCGATAATAATGCCTTAGAAATTTGCGCGGTGGGCAAATTTATTGTTGATCATTTTATCTTTGAGATTAAAAAATATGAAAATAATTATCAAAAGTCACTACATATTAAAGTTCGTTATTTATTAATAAAATAACAAATGTGTTACTATTTAATCTTGTAGCTAGAATGTGGAACATCTTTTATATAGTTCTTAAAATTTTTACTTTCGAATTGAATTTAATATCAATGGCTCTACGCGGACACTCGACTCGAAAATTATTCTCTGGAATTTAATCATTAATTATTCTCTCAATTTTAATTGAATATGTCTGAATACTTTACATAATATGTTATATATTCTCAGCTTTAATGTTACTTAATATCATTTTTATTAATATCTTAATAAATAAAAAGTTTATATGTAGAAACGATTGATAATTATTTTCAGATTTTTTTTTTTATTTTTTTAAAATTTTTAATAAATTTCGGCCGTTTTGTTCACGTCAAAATTTCATCATGAAAAATGCTTTTAAATATTAATTTGGGCTACAATTTCATATGAGATAGTTGATTCCTATCTTTAATATTTACGAGTCCGACGATTAAAGATTAAATTTATTATTTTTTGTCGATTTTATTTGACAAAATATCTAATAAAAAAAAGTTTGTGCAATTTAGATCAATTGTGTCAGCATTTTAATTTGGTAATTTTTTAAAAATTTGCAACTTTTTCGTTGTTATTCCTTATGTCTCACCATTATAATTATAAATTTCCTTTATTAGTAAATTCAATTAGTTGACCACGTGTAGAGTTTGCGCAACATTTCGTGTAGTATTTAATATAACGCAATAATAACTTCTCACCTAATAATACATTATTGGTCATTTTTATACCTAATGTTGCAGTGCATTAATGTGCGTATGTACGTACAACCTTTTCGCTAGCACTTTCCAATAGCATTCCCTTGGTTATTCCTTATATGTCTCGCCATTATAATGCAAATTCTCTCAGAAGAGGAATCCCATTCGATTATAGGTACTACATACATACTATGCGCTTGGTTGTTGTCTCAATTTTGTCTGACATTTATTTCTCCCACATGTTATGCTACATACAGATGAAACCTACGGTGCAAATTAGAGATCAAGAACATGCGCACATTAGAAATTCAATTGCATCTTTTTTTTTTTAACTCATACAAATTTTGTCAGCAGTTGGCTATAAAATCAACTACTCAAAATAATTGATCTCATTTTTATTTTATCTTTCACAATGTTAAAGATTACATTTCTACTTTTTACCATTATTGCTTTGTGCCTTGCTGCTGATCCCTTGACTTTAGTGAAAAAAGACTATGTGACGCATACTGGATATTATTATGGTATTCCTGTTGAACTTCATGTGTTCAACATAATTACTGGGCTTACTAAACCACCATCTCATATCCGAAGTAATCGCATTTACGTGTTTATTCCTCCATCTGGAGGTTACAAAGTTCAAAAAAATCTTATAGACTTCATCCCAGGTGATAATGGTTATTCGGATTTATGGCATGTAAATGTTGTCACTGGAAGGAAATCAGGTGATCCACCAGTAAAAAGTGTCTCCGATTTACTGAAATTAGAAAGAGATAATTGTGTAAAAATAAAACCTATTAAATTATTTGTAAACATTCCTATCGGTAAGTATGATAGCCTATTTTCCAATTATCCACTCCGTTTTTCCTGCTCACTCGCCTAATCTCTTTTTATAGTGGGCTCGGGTTCGACTCTTAAAAATCCTCTTGATGCAGCGGCAAAAACTGTCTACTACCGTGGCCAAATTGTTAACTGTTTTGATTTCGGACCAACTGAAAACCTTGATGTAACTGCCCCTCTAGTTCACGTCTTAGATAATAAAGAAAATGTTGTACTCGCGTTGCCTTCCACTATTCCCGGAGAAAAAGATTTTTCCGCATGGTGGAACATTTTTAATGTTTCACCACCATATTTTCACAACATTACAACAATTTTGGGAGAAATTAAACAATATGAGAGATTTTTTTCAGGCATTAACATAAATTGTCCTATTGTTAGCGTTGGCGGAAAACCAGTACGAGGTGATCCAAAATGGGAAGAGAAACTTTGCAAAAGGGGTTAAAAATTACAACAAATAGATAAGGCCTATTCTTATGTCTAAACATTTTAATTATTCTTTATGTTTTCATTTAATTGATAGAGATTTTGCCGAATAATATTTTAGTCAACTTATATTTTTTAAAATTTTAAACTAGACATTATTTTTTTTAGAGTAATCACTCCAACCCAACTATCACTAGGATATAAATGTATTTAAATTTACACAATATAATAATAAAATATTCATATAAGCTATTTGAATTATGAGATTATATTATCTAATTGTACAGTTTGGAATTTGTTTTTTTAATAATCTGCAATAGAAATTTTTAATTAGTTGTTCTAATAGCTTTTTCATAAAAAGCATATATCTAGTATCAAACATTCTTCATCTTGAGTAAAATCGGAAGCATCTGATTTCAACATAAATTCATAATGAACAAAAGATGGACCAAAAACATCTTGAACATTAGAATCAAAATAGTATAGAGCTCTACTACCATCTATAATTCGACTGAGAATTAAATTTTGAATATTTCAATTTTCCAATGAAAAAATGAAGCTATCCTGTGTTTCCACATAAGTACACGTTGAGTTATCCCAAGCTAAAGGATTATAACCGCTAACTATTTCATCGGATTCAGAAACCTTTGCAGTCACAATTTTACCAGCATGTCTATGACACATGTTCCACTTCCTCGAAGAATTAATTGAAATTCATAAGGTAAGATTGATAAAGAATATGTGTTGATTTTTGATCAATCCATGATGAAAATTCTGCGACATGTTCTTTGTTGATTATAGTAATTCAGGAGTTGAAATGGTTCTTGAAGGTAATTCAGGATTGAAAATAATTCTTGCTGACAAAACAAATGATTAAAATGATTTTTGAGGACATATGATGTTGGATTAAATAATATTCAAAATTTTTTTGTAGGGCTTTACTTTTCTCCCAAATCTTGATCAGGAATATGAAATACCGAAAATAGTAATTATTCCTCAAAATTTCTTTAGACCATTCTTCTGAGTTAGTAGGTAAAGTAGGATATTGTGCAATTCTCCATTTAATAACATAATCTCAAATTTTAATTTCTTTTATTTATAAATAATCTCTTTTTAATGTTGTTTCTTGGAGTGAAGTGAAATCCTCGGATTCAAAATTATATATGGATATTTTAACTTAATATCATTATAAAAATCTTTGAAACTTTAAATTCATTACTATTAATGATTGAAGATTGAATGATAAACGGAAGCTTTAGTTTCGATGAGATAACTCTCCAATTCTCCTGATAGTTATTTAAGTTTGAACAATAATTAACTCATAGATGGTTCCATCATCATCATCATCCTATTGAAAAGTTAAGTTGTTATCCATATTTTCAATATTAACAATTTCACCATGGATATAAAATAATTTTTTTATTTTATTAATTTTGAGTCACGATAGAATTAATTAATTTAAATATTAAATAAATTAAATTAAATTAATAAATAATTACTACACGAATTTGATTTACGTTCGCGTTCGACTGTTATTTTTATCGAAAAAGGTATAGATCTGCAAATAACTTCATTCACATCTATCAACAAGAAGCTACAGATTATTTTGTAAACTTACGAGACCACGTTTTTGACGGCCTCATGTTCTTCAGGTGATATTATGTAGCTGAGGAGGTTATGAAACCACCAGAAAACCAGAACTATAATGTAATCAATTTTTGGAATTAGGAGAGGTAAAATATTTATTTATTTATTATTTATTCTATATTAATAAATAAAAAATAATTTATTATTTAATTATTCGATTCGATAAAAATATATTTTGATCTTTCGTATCAAAATATGCTAAAGATGGTGACTTAAGAACTTATTTAAGAAACTATTTTGAAAACTTTGATTGAAAAGATTGAAAAGCTAAAAATTAACATGGCTAAAGAGGTTTAAGTTGTATTCATAATGTGTTCACAGAGGTTTAATAAGTATATGGTAATTTATATTATAGGGTTTGTATATCCAAATTCACTTTTTTTAATAGCACTCAAAGAATATTTTGGTTTGAGAAGATTATTGATAACGGTTTATCTCATTCATTGGATGTTATCGGTGGAACCTTTATATATATAGATCCTGAATGGAAGAATATATAAGAGAAATAAAACTTAATACATTGTACATAGTTTAGTATAGGAGTTCTTTTTTTGTTGTTGTTATAAAAATAGAATTTTTTTTAATTTAAAACTATATTTATTAAAAAGATCTTACAATAATGGTTATAGTATAATGTTAATAATTAATTCCTTGTACAGATGTTACATTACAATAATTCAAAATTATTCTAGGCAAATATGAGGTAGAATGGATAGAATAAAATGATCGACATTGATTTTTTTTAAAAATTCGAAAATGCTTATAAAAAGTTACTACATATGAAAGTTTATTATTTACTAACAAAACATCAAATATGTTACTAATTAACCTTATAGCTATGAATGAGAATCATCGTTTGTAAACTTTTTAGAATTTTTTCTTAAAAATTAAATTTAATATCAACGACTGAATACTGGGCGTTCAAAAATTATTCTTTGAAATTCAACTACTCATTATTAGTTCACTTTTTATTAATAAAATCTGAATACTTTACACAAGATGCAATATTCTCTTATCTTTAATGTTACTTAGTATCATTTTTATTAGTATTTATGTAAATAAAAACTTTTATTGTTTAGAATATTTTATTCTAATTAATTATGTTAAGATATGCTGTTAACATGACACTGCATATGCATAGCTTTAAATAAAATATACAGACAGTTACTATAATTTCGTGCAGTTTTAAATAAAAAATATGCAGTTAAAGTGAAGTTGTAACATTATCCAGGATATTACAATGCATCAATAAAATTATATT